TATGGAATCCGTAAATTTAATCATATCAGTGGCGCTTTTGAGCAATCGAGATGGTTAAAGATGAACAAATTGAGAAAACTGCATTGTCTATCACTGGTACATCATACCCCTCTACTTAAAGCGCCATATTATCTTTATTCAAAGCTAACCCTCCTCTGTCATTACGATCAAAGGTCCTCTAGGAATAAACGCATCTTACTCATCCCGCGGCATTCGACAGCATTGTTCATAAGTAGTTTCTCGTACTGGGCACCCAAACTATATAACTGATTGTCAAGAGGGTATAAAGAATATAGCCTAAGCAGTTTTAAAAAAAAAGGTTAAGGATGAGCTTAAAGCAATCAGATGGCTAGAATTTAACTTTACCCATATCCACAGGTAATTAATTGTTTTCTTTTTCTGTCCAGAGTTACAACGAAAAAAGGAAATACCAGTGCCCAAATTTGAATGTTCAGTCGAAACATCGCAAACATTGAATTCCTAGTCAATGTACCCACTATGATTCAGAAATCTTTCTCTTGCCTATCTAAATTATTATCAGGTTGACTGCCATGGCGGTACTATACGACCGCCTGGTAGATATGCCAGTATGCCATGGCGGTCGTATATGACCGCTATGCACCCGATGAAATATTCGATACTCATCTGCCAGCGGTCGTATTTAGAATGTTTTAAGATACGGTACACGACCGCTGTGGCTTACAAGGCCCGCATGTAACTGCGAGTTTTGGAATTGTTCAAAAATTATTGACAAAAAAGCAATTTTCATTTATTTATTTTTTATTGACAAAATTAAAGCAGCTACACGAAACATAACAAGAAAAAAGTATAATATACTACAAAAACATATAATATAACTACTTTGAATGTGTATTATAACATTCCAAACACAAATGAGTCTGGCCTTCGCAGCTACTACAATATGTTACAACCTTTTTTAACAAATATTTGGCTTTTTGTCCCCGAATCTTTTTGGCATAACAACCTTTACAATACTCCGTGACTTTGTCGAAAGATCATTGTTTTTTAAGCAACTCATGGATTTGAACTGATTTCTTCGGTGATATTTGCATTGTTTCACTTTCATGATCGGTTTCTTCATAATTCATAAATGATCTCACTATTTCTTTTCGGAACTCTGTAATTTTCATTTTTTTATCAGCAAGCTGGTTGTATACTATATGAGAATTTACGAGTGCTGTCCCCAAAATAAATTCTATGGCAAGTTTCCGATACCATTTGAGTGATTTTCTCAAAGGTGAATTATAACTGGTCATCTGATCAGATTGATCAATCGACGATTTTCCTTCGTTATATTCGATTACTTCTTTCTGTTTTTGAACCATATCAGTGCGTCGCTGTAGATCACAGTTTCTGTAGTATGCTTAGTAGTGAGAAGGAGAACATCCCTCTTATCTTTCCACTTCAAAACGCATACACCTCTTTCATATTCTTGTTCAAATACTTCCCCTTTTGTTAATTTTTTTTTTGTATCACTTCTTTCGGATTTCCACGCCGGTTAGCTCTCACTGTACCAACATAATGTGTTTTATTGCCCAGAACAATATTTGTTTAGTTCGAGACTTGTATAATAGTTGTCAGTTATTATAGTTCGTCCTGAGTTTAGTAGGTCCCTCGAGAGGTCGATGACGATGTTAGTTGGAACAGAAGCGTTGCCGTCCCTTTTACCTTGCCGTCATATGTTCGCAGATTCCACGTATACCCATTATCACTGCATAATTTAAAAAGTTTTACTCCATATTTATGGGTTTTTTGTGGAATATATTGCTTGAATAGCAATCGCCCTTGAAATGGGATAATAGACTCATCTATACAAAATGTCCAACCAGGAGTGCAGACTCTTTGGAAGCTTTTGACAAGCCTTTCTGCTAATGGCTTCTCTTGTGAAGACGATCGCCTTCTAGCCAGCTTTCATTGTCGGAGAAGTGCCACATTCTAAGAAGCAGCTGAAATCAATCTCTCGATATGGTTTTTGGTATAATAACATTTTTATATAGGTCGTCATTGCTCCAGTACTTTTCCAACGAAGGCATTTTTACCAGACCGATGTAAGCCTCTACACCAATAAATCTAATCATTTCTTTTCTATCAGTCGGAGCCCATCGGTATAGTCTTGATTCTTTCTTTATATCGTTTGTATCATAGAATACTTGAGTTACATATAAGTTCGTTTGATTTACCATCTCGTCAATAATTTCATCGTCAAAGAAACTACGGAAACATTTATAGGGCCATAAATCATTTACAAGTGTTGCGGCATAATTTCCATGTAAACCACCCTCTGCAGTGTATTCAAATTCTTGATGATTTCCAACTGGCTGCGTCCACCTATGCTCTAGAAGATTTTGGATCACTTCAACTTCATTGTTAGATTCCTGATGGTTTCCCTCAGTATTTGATGGCTGGGTTTGAGCTAAGGTTTCGACTTCAAAGAATTGTTGCAATTGTTTGTTCTGTTCTAGATCTATTGATAAACTGCTCTTGTTTGTTTTTACATGAACAGATGATATACCTTTTTGAGGCGTTAGCGGCTTCTATTTCTTCGTACGAGACTAAGAGACATCATCAGGTAAAAGTGACTTGGAACAGCATGGTTGATTCATAAACTTAATTTTTCCACAGTTCAATTTCTTTGAGATGGTCTCACTGAGTTGCAGTTTGCGTTTGGCCTAATTTTTCGTTTGTACGGAACTTTGTATGCATTTTCCTGTCTGAGTCTGAGAAATCTGAACTAGATAATATTTCTTCATCACTAGATGGTAAAAACAGAGTCAAATGAACCAAATGGTTCAGTTTCGTCACCTAAAAATAATAAAAGATACAGAATACTAACAGCAGAAAACAAAAACAATTTACAGACAGAAAAGTCGCATGAGTATCAAAAGACTCATATCCATTTGAAAATATATATTTCAATATAAATAATAATTATTACCTAACATTTAGCCATCTTTCAAAGCTAGTTCAACAATTTTTCTACTTCGACTACTCATCGTCGCATGTGCATAACAAACAGCGATCAAAACTAGACTGATAGTTCTCACGTTCTCAGTCCGACAAGTTACGACTCGAATAAGGCGACCGCCGTCAAAACGACCGCTGGCAGCAATGGTAGAAATATGCCGCCTGTGCCCGGACGGGCGTATACAACCGCTGATGTTTTTTTTTTTGGGAAACCTTTACTATTTTAATAAATGTTTTACAAAAATATAGAATAAATCTTCCATAATTTTTATAATTATTCTGTACTTGGCGTCTGGGGCATTTTTTCTCGTCCACATATGGCAGTCAACCTGTTATTGGACACTAACTTGGGTGAAACCATTGGTTTAACAACTTGCAACTTTCTGACCAAGAAAATCAATTATTAATTAACTACATGAAAACTCTATACAAACCAGAACAATTACTACCTTTTGGTACCTTACATTTATACGAAACCTTAGATCTATGTAACACCTCTATCATCTCTTTGAAAGATGAATGAATGTTTGTTGTACACGCTCCTATACTAGGTAACAAGGAATATGTCTCTTTTAAACCTACTGACTAGTGTCTACGACCAACATCTTGTTACATTATCCACTAACAATACTATCAAATTTGTTTTAGAATACTTTTGTAAAGAATTTATATCTCTAAGCAATAAAGCCAAGCTTTGCACTTCCATTATAGACTCGCAATGTCACATTGATACCATTAAATCTTGCTCTTATCTTACTTTGCATGAATACACCAGAAATGCACCAGAACCATTAAAATTAGACACTAATCCAAATTTACATCTCAAAGATACCTGCGCTAATAAAATAAGAACTACTTCAGAACGTTCTCACTCAATTATATCCTGTGACACAATTGTTAATGATCAAATTTTAAGGTTTGATGATAAATATTCCATTGAAGTAAAAATACCCTCTCGAATTCATAATTTCACTTTCCCTACTTACAAAAAACAAATCAACATAACATCTTATTGAAGTCACTTAAAAATGATCCACAAAAAATTGGGGAGCCTACATTAACATGCTTATGGTTCCTTGATAATTTATACAATTGTTGCCGCCTTACTTCTTATATTTACCATATTTATGTAAAATATCGATATGTTTCAGATACGGAAATGAATGTAAACCATGAACCCTTATTCCACCTGAGAATATGACAAACAATGATTGTAAATCTTCACCTTTAAAATTCGGGGACACATTTTTTCATGGAAGGCAGGAATTATGGTATCACCCTCGTATATTTAGTAAACATCTTATTATTCCTGTTTATTCCCGGTATTTACTTTTCTTAGGCGTTCTTGTTAATTATGACGTTATGATTTATTATAAATACGCATATTGTTAGAGATAAGACTACTCTCTACACTTGGCCGTATAACCTTTAACATCTCAATAAATACTAATTTTTGAAGTGGTTCGTCGTCTATTTTATTTTATTTGTACAATAGGTGCGAAGAACTAAAAAGGTTGGGAGCGTATCGATCTCGTAACCTTGAAAAATTGATATAAACGCTCCCAAGCCCCTTACGATCCCCACCACTAAGTTTCTTCACCTCCATTTTTTTTCAAAAATCATCAGGATTTTCAAAGACTATATAGGTTTTAGTCTTTAGTATAGTAGTAATAATGTGTAAGAATCCAAGCGATTCTTCTCAAGGTATAGGCGGTTATAGGATTAGCGACTGACCGACAGACAGAGTATCAGACAGACAGACCGAATGAAATGAGTGATATGGTCTTTCATGATGTACGTGTCATATAATATCCAAAACACGTAATACCTCATTTTCAAAAGTTTTCGCGATTACCATACTTCCCCGCCAGTAGGCGTGAGAAGTAAAAAAGAGAAACATTTGTAACTTGTGAATATACGCATAGGATGTACCTGTATCCACAGTATATTCTGATTTCATCAAATATTGTTGATTAGATTGTTGGTAAGTTATTCTTTCATCATACATTTTTCAGGGTTCTCTTTCCTGGAGGAGCGGCCTACTTCGACCAAAGAGGAGGATACAGCGAAGCGGCCAGAAAATTGTACAACTTGGCAAAAGCCGTGAATGAACAAGGAACTTACTATCCCATCATTGGAGTTTGTTTAGGCCACGAAGTGTTACCGTATGCGGAGAAAGGGGATGACATCAGAACCCGCTGCGAGCTAAAAGATGTTGCAGTTCCTCTAAAGTTTGCTGCGGGTAAGGAGCATCCGACTAAGAACTTCATTTTTTCCAGAGAAATTACCACTATTGAACGGAACATCCTATTGAGAAGTAGCGTTTCTCTCTCAAAAAATTCAGTCAGTTTGATAGCTAATCTGTATATTTCGGAAAATTTGAATACAAGTGCTAAATAAGTCTAATAATTCTCTACAGTTGGGTTAATATCGGATAACTGGGAAGAGGAATACGGGCGACCAACCACAATATTCCACTTGAAAATGGTAATGGGCAATTCCAAATCGCTCAAATCAAATATCTATTACATTCGTTAATCGTTACTGACAATAAGCAACTAGATAATTTCGGGTAATTTGTAAATTGGCTGAGAAACGCCGCGATGATTGATTTACGTAATATAGTGGTAATGAATGAATAATAACAAAATTGAGTATAGTGAAAAAAGTGCAAATATTAAAATAACGCATGTACATACTTTGTTGATTGTATATCTTAAATTGTAATTTCTGAAAAACTGCAAATAATCAAAAAAGTGGTAAAGCTCCCCATATCTGTATAATAAGAATGAGGCTTATAAACGGATGAACGAAAATGGCAGAGAGCACGAATAGGATATTTTTGAGTTAAAGTATATTTTGCCATTCTGAGTTTATAAACACCCTTCATGACACATACAAAAGAACAATTAAAAAAAGGTCAAATGGCCTGAAAATATGAGATATGAAGCTCAACTTGACGAAAATTTGCTACAACAGTTATAAAAGTGACTGGCAAGAGATCAGAGATGAGTGTTTTTTCGAATCAAATAGCTCCAGAAGTAGCGATCCAAACCTACATAGGAGTATTCCATTTAAAAAAACATGTTTGTGGTGCCACGTGGTTAAAAATCACTGTGCAGATAACAGCGTATTTGTTTCATTAATCCGCCTCCATACCTCTTACCGTTTCTGAGATTCCAATGTACTAGGTATATATTTATAAATATCAATGTCTGCCAGCATCACATCCGTACCACAATTCTGATAGTCGTGAAAATGTGCACGCTTGCCAATTATTGATACCCGAGGAAGGTTTTGTCCGTGAAGTCATAGTCGATTTTGTAATGAAATTTGACAATTTTCGACTGTCGCGGCAAATAGCAAGATCTCTACTGGCAGCGTCAAGCTGGCATGAACGCGGCCTTATATCGACCCACTCAACCTATGACAGTCAAGTGATATAGATGTTTTATTTTACCTCTAACTGTTACCCGCGACTTGGTGCGCTTGAAATCGTTACTAACATAAGACATTGTTTTCAGGTAATGCTATAAAATTCCGATTACGTTTTATTTATTTGATGGCATTAGTAAATTGACAGCCAACCTGCATGCCTGAATATTTGGTTACTTTATTAGATGCGCCACCTACACGTGCCGTGGGAAGACCCCGCTATAAAAAGCTAGTGCATATAAAAGCACATACAAAATGTGTAAAACCTTATTCCTGTTAACAATTGGTAGTTAACCTACTTGAAATGACTTTCAGAACTATTGATAAAACTGCTACTTATGCTTTGTTTTAGATTATGAAAAGAGTAAGATGTTTTCAAAGGCTTCAGATGAAATTATAAACATTCTGAAAACAAAGAATGTAACGTATAACTTCCACCAATACTGCTTGACTGAAAAAGCCTTCAGGCGCCACAAACTACTTCCAGAATGGAAAATAACATCAACCGATGAAGACATTAATGGTATTGAATTCATATCATCCATGGAAAATACCAGATACCCATTTTACGGGACGCAGTTTCATGCTGAGAAAAACTTGTTTGAATTCAAGGCAGGCATTGGAATACCACATAGTGTCGAGGCTGTGAAGATATCTCAATACTTCGCGAATTTCTTCGTGGAAGAATGTAGGAAGAATGCAAACGGGTTTCCAGATCATGATTTAGAAAAAAGAACGCTAATCTATAACTATCAGCCGATTTATACTGGTATAAACGGATCAGTCTTTGAGCAGCAGTATATTTTTGCGAAGAGTGATTCAGAAAAATCAGAATTATGAATGTATCGAAGTAAACTCTGATAAGCTCTACATCCTAGGCCAGATAATCATATAATATAGTTATGTAGTTATAAAAAAATGACATTATATCTATTTTTTATGGGGCTATGTAGATTCTTTTACATTATGTAGATTTTCCTATAAAATGTCACCATTGATTTTGCTGACATCCACTTTATTTTCAGTAGTAGGAACGAACTAGAGGCACACTGACGGCTACCTAGAACACAAGCTGACATTTTACAGATTTTTTGATATCATATGGGTTGTCCACGTTATAACTCGCAAGGGTATTAGGTATCTTGAAAAGATGTCGGTTTTTTTACATTATATAGGTTTTTCGTGACATTATGTAGGTTTTTCTACAAGCTTTCACTAGCTGTCGTACCTTTAATGTATAGTCGTTTGGAGATCTAAGCAGTATTTTTGAGAAAAACTACAATTTGCGTTTTTGACCACCCTATATGAGCAAACATTATAATTCAAAAAGTAACAAATAAGATAAAAGCTGAGGTAGGTGAGTTTTCTGTTATACAAAATTGAGCACTCCAGATTTCAAAGTGGCGGACTGAGGGGTTGCTGAAGTGGGGGGTTTTTCTAGACAAAACAGCGGGTATCTCAATAGCTAATTCCCAGCACTCCATAGTATGTTATATCAATTTTCTTCTTTTGAATTGGTTTATCCAAATATGCAATAAAATTTGAGGTATTCCATTTGAAAAATCACAGCTTTGATATGTAAGTCGAAATTGGCACACCCTGTATAATTGCCAATATTTCAGAAATGTGCCCTCACATGTCGTGTATATCATCCCATAAATTGATTTTCTCAGAATGTATTTGCTTATCAGTAATATTCCGTCCTCACATGGATGGGCCACCCTGTATATATATATACATATAGGGTGACTTAGAAGTTGAGTCATTTATTTTAACAGTGAGTAGATCTGATCAAAAGAAATGTTTTTTTCCTATAACATTTTTCTGGTAAATTTAAAGTAACAAAGTTATAGCCCTTTAGAAGCTTGCGTACCGCCCTGTCTCAATAATAATATTATGTGCTCGTGTTTGGCAACAACGGATATAATCCGCCTTATCGGTTCATCGCATCGGAAACAAAAAAGCGAAAGAATTTGAAACGCTTATGTTTTTACTACAATTTCATTAAGTTGTATTCAATCAATGTGTCAGTCGGTAACGCGTGAGTGAATAGTGGTGTTTGTTGCGTGGCTCAAATCAAATAAAAAATGGCACATGTTTACGAAAATGCTGAACAACTTGTGGACATGATTCTTATTTACGGGGGGGATTCTTTACAAAATGCTGCCGCGGCATCACGGATTTATGCGGATCGGTTCCCCAATCGAGTGCAACCAACCCCTCGTGCCTTTGTTAATGTAGTACAAAGGGCTCGTGAATCAGGTGACTTAAGACCTCACAGGGGAGGGCATGCCGGTGCTCCAAGACCGCACGATCAAATACAGGTCCGCACTGACATACTTGTCGGGAGGATACTTTATAAAACAAGGTAACATTTTTTTTATTTTTTTTTACACACATATTTTGGTTTATCTTCCTTCAACAATCATTATTCGTCTTTGGCATAGTAGTAAGCTTGTATCAGATCTCATAAAAATACGATCGATGCTTTCCAACTCAAAGAGGGTGAAGGATTAGCGAACAGACCGACATACAGGCCGACTGCAATGAGTGACATGGTTCTTTGCGAAAAAGAGGTACATCAGCAATCTTCAGATGAACAAATACATTTTTCTTCTATCTTCTCTACTGTCCCACGCTTTCCTATAAGCTTGCTGTCTATGTTTGACTTTCTTCAAAGGTTCCGCTCCTTTTTTTTTGTTTTCTGTATTCGAGAGTATCGCATCTTTTGTTGTACATCTCTCTTCCAGAGCAACATGATTCGGAATCCGACATATTATCGTTATTGAATTGAAACCGGTTAAATATCGAAATTAACTGAAAACGATCTTTTGATTTATAAGTTCCAAAAGTCATAAAAACGGGAGACGTCGCATTCATTTCATCTAATGCACATGGGTAAATAAAAATATGCGCGTCATGTCAATACATAGAACGTGAGGACTGATTGACGGCAATTTTTCCCGTTGATGTTTGCCGAGATAGTCCGCATAATGCTAGGCAACCCATTATACAGAGCGAGGTACGCGCGCTTGTCTACCAAGCGGCAACACTGTCAGCTGCTTGCTGGTGTTAATTGAACGTAGTTGTTAGATTGACTCAACATCTGTGAGTAAAAAAGCTCATTCGCAAAATTATCGTACATTCAGCTTTTATCCTATACATACTATCGTACATCGTACAGAAACTATAAATATCGTATGTCTGGCAACGCTGCAGTTGACTAATCTTTTGGCGTTTGCGAGTGAACCTAACTTGTCATTGTGACCAGAACCTACCTGTATGCAACCAGTAGCGCAACATGTAGTCCGCCATCAGGCGATCTCTTTGTGTCAGGTACCGGTGGTTACAAGTTCGAGCGAAGGTGATGAAGGTGAAGGGCCGAGGAAGGGGGAAGGGGAGCAGTCTGGACCGATCAATGACAGAGAGCAGATCGACGGTTGCGGTGGACAGACTATACGTATAGCAGCAGAGCGACAAAGTAATATATACTAAGTGACATATAAATCCGAACACCCAGTTTAAATGGTTTTATTTTAATGAAATTTTGTATAAGTACTTAATGAAGCATAATAAGTAAATGATAAAAATTTCAAAATGATTGCACTGCTTTAAAGCCCTATGACCTTTAATAATGTGTGGATGCACCCTGATGTGCTACGCATTCTCCAACGCGCCTAGGCATGCTTCTGATCAGGTGGTCAATGTCCTCCTGTGGTATCTCATTCCACGCAACCACCAACACCCCTCGAAGTGCTTCTAGAGTCTGAGGAGGACGTTGCAAATTGAGCAATCTCCTACCCATCA